TCCTTGGGCGACAGCTGACTATGAATTACATCAGGTTGTTTATTCTTGGACGTGTCTTGTTGGTTTAGACCGGGTTGTGATATATTCAACGAGTTTTCATTACTTTATTGTTCCCAGCACGTAGACTTTCCTTTAATTTTTATGTATGAGGAGTTTGATATAATGATAGTGCTGTTATCAGGAATAGGAGAACTCGTTTTATCCGTTCCTTGTGTAGAGGGTGTGTCAGTGGAGCAAGGAAGAACGGCTTTGGAGCTATGAAGATGGGGACATTTGTAACTGATTTACCGCTTCTCTCTTTGAATACCGTGAATTCCCTTTATGCGATTTTCTGGTGATTTTACGTTTTCTGATAGCGGAATAATTGCAACTCAACCCAAAGAATATTGGTTGGCATCAATCCTAGACAGAGTGACTGTCGACAACTTGACAATCTTTTCTGCCTGTAACCGGGCATGGCTTGGGTGCTTCGATTATGGTGCCACATAGTTATCCCTTGTTACAAATATCAACTCTAAGTACAAAAACTTCACTAACGGCAAAGACAGAAAGTCCAGACAAAGAGAGTGCTATCTTCAAAGCATCGGAAAACTGCAGAAAAATATTGCTTGCACAGATTTCAGCTTAGTTTGTGATACGAACGTGTCAAATGATCGTGATCAGTTAACTAGTTAACTGACCTTTTTGTTATCTGTTATCTAGCTAAAACAAATTATATCTGTGCAAATAGCTTAGCATCGCAATGCCTCAAATGATTGCGCAGCCTTCAAGAAAAGTTTTCAAACACAAAGACACTGTCCGTCGACTGAATAAAAATTAATTTTGATTGCATCAACCGTATATATTTCCAAACCATCTGAGGAAATAACGATTACCGAGCAGCATGGAAACTTTTCTAACGGTCAAGCGGATTCACCTGCTAGATCACGCATTCTATTGCGGATGTGGAAGAGGCTGACCACGACTTTCGTGCCCAGGAAAGTAATTCAATCCATCTAGAGTTACAACTTCCATTAGACAATTCATCTTTTGGGACTTACTCAGAAGTATGCAAGGAGTTAATAAACCTTAATTCGAACAAATTACAGGTCTCCTTTTGTCCTCAAGCACTGTGCCAATTACTGGTAAATTGTGTACCCTTGTTTTCATCTAAACAAGCCTGTGACGGCATGTTCAGGTAAATTACAGCATTTTCTAGCGCAGCGATCACGGACGATCAGAAAATGCACAACAGTAATGCACGTCAATTTTTACTTTTGGTAAGGCAATTAATTTGCTTATTGTTTTAGTGTGTTGTCTGATGCTGCATAGGATTAACGTGTCCACATTGGTAGGCCCCTTAAGAATATGAATACGGAAAGCTTAAAAGAAGATTTTGGATAATATGAAAATGGGTTTAACGCAAATATAACGTATGTATAAACTTTTCTTTAAGCACATTATGAAGTCTGCTTTGCTCAGGGCCCTTCATTTGTATGGTATGTTGATTGTGGCACTCGCATGATAGTGGAGCAATAGGGGGGCATGTATGAGTAAATTGTAATAAGGAGTACTAGGAATGTTGACGATGCAGGCGGGGAATATAGAGAGGTGTTAAGTTTGCTTCCATCCTCAGTATATCAGATCATATACATTAACAATATCATTTGGGTTAGCATAACAGTGTAGGAGGAAGAACCAAGATAAGGGCGGCGAGTGGAGAGACCTTCCCACTGCAATATCCACTCTCGGTTGTAGTCTCTTTTCTGGATCATAGGAGCCCTGAGCCATTTCCTACGCTTGCCTCTTTGTTTTGTGACATCCATACAAGTGGATCAGGTTTAGCACGGTCAAATATTTGCTGATCCCTTTGCGAAATTCGTGTTCTGAATTGCAATCACTTATCCTGGATGGTAATTTATTTCATATTCTGTTGTACCTATTAAGGACGAATCTAACGGATCTAGTGATCTTCGATCTGAATTCCACTAATTAATTTTCATTATTTCGTGTGTTATACAATGGTGCTTTTATTACTTCCATGTTAAAGTTAGCAAAATGTATTTTTTTGTGCAGGACTTCAAATTATATGATTCGGTTACGCTTTATGCGCTTTTGCCAGGTGGGATCAAGTTTAAGTTTCTCACAGCATTCGAAATATTCCAATTTTGTTGATCATCCTAATAAGCGCTTTGTGAATGCTGTGCATTTTACAGTACAATGCGCTCTCGTTAATTTATGCTACTGTAAATCTTTGAGCAGCAATCAAATAGAGGAGGTGAAACTGATGAATAGGCGCAAATTATCTATTCTCTCAATCTGAATGTTATAAATATCATTCTAACGCCTTCGCTGGTCTCTGCATTGTTTGGGGAATCTGAGTGAGCATGAATATCTAAGTCCCGGGTCACGAGGAGTGCGGCATATATTAATTGACTTAGCCGAATGTACAGGCCATTAGATGTTATGTCGCACTTGTCAGCTATTGCGTAACACTTATCTGTCATAAATAACATTCCCCACTTTGAGCAACAGGTCCGTGCTCGCTGTGGTAATGCTGGATCATTTAGATAGCTTCGTTTATGGTAGCAGGGTGAACAGTGTAGTACGTTTTGCTATCGTCGGTAAAATGTATGGCGTTCCGAATATCACTGTGTCAGAAATATCGCTAACATACATCAAGAACAGTAGGGACGACGGACAGTACTCTTTTGTACACCACTTGTGACTGCTGTTGGTTCGGATTTGTGTTTCTGAATCTGTACTACCTGCGTTCTCTTGGTAACATAATATGTGAGCCACAAATGCAGGGGTTCTCCTGCTCCACGTAACATCATTTGAAGTCAGCGGCGGGTGGTCATGTTGGTGATGGATTATCTCACTTCATCACTAAATCCCGTCAGGTGTTCACTCACCTGAGTGACTTGTGGCGCGGCCGTGACATCAGTCTAAGGCTCAGTGGCACGGTGTACCGTGCCATTGTCCCTGCAATCCTGCTGTACATATGCCTGGTCTGGTCTGTTCGCGAGAAAGCTCTGCAAGTGCTATCATCTTTAGAACACTGCTGTCTGCGAGTCATCGCTGGTAGGTGGTGCCAGCACCGAGAAGGAGAAACAAGACGTGGAAAAGCACATTAAGAATATTACCTCACGTTTTGCACCGACGGGATGCCAGTCCCTAATGTTGGGGGTCACGTGCTTGGGACTCAAGTGGTTGGAAATATTAGAGTTGTGGCTCTCAATCGAAACCAGTGACGTCAAGATTATTCTAGATTATTTTTTCATCCAAATGGTGATGTTAAATGAAACAAATCCAAACGGTCTGTGTAAAACAAAAATAAGAGAAAGATACCGCTTTTTAGTTGTGGAGGAAATCTCTTTGCATTCTATTGCAGCCATGGCTCAGTTAGCACGTTTTCTGTTCAACTTGTGAGTATATCCATAAATATACAAGTACATACAGGGAGCGGCGCTTGGTGCGCCTTCCTCATGTGGCAACTGAAAAGTTATCTCAGTCATCGGTCAAGCAAAATTACCAGAATGACCTGTGTACCGAACGTTCAATCCCTCGTCCTAATGACCCTGGGCTTCAATGGAATAGAATCTCGGCCACCATGTGTAACACGGGGGCCTCCGCTTGCAGCACTATCAATCGTCACAGCACTAGTCACTAGATATCCGAGAGATCACTGAAGCTGTAGAGATCTAGCAGAAAACTCCGGGATGAATCTTTGCACATGTAACTAGGCGAAATATTAGGCGCGAATTAAAGCGGAGCCTGCATGTTAATAAGGGAACCCGGTGGAGCAGTAGAGCTCAAGTAATGGAAGAAACGGGAACAGTAGCCAATTATCGCAAGCTACTCCAACTTTACCGTACAAGTAGTCCCAGAAAACAGGGCGTTAGCCTTACAATCAGAGACAGCGCGGGTGCCATGCTTCACAATAAGGAGCGCCGTATGGCGCGATAGCTGGAACACTTTGGAGAGCAGTTCAGTTGTCCCCCTGCTTCTAGATCTCATCCTACTCAGGTGGTGCAGGCTAACACATGGCCACTTAATTTAGGGACTCGTCGGAGGATGATGTCCGAAATGTGATCACAGCCCTCAATCTTTTTCGTGTCACTGGCCCGTCTCATTGGCATCCGCACTAAGGATGACGGTGCGATCCTCCGCAAAACAATGACCTATGTGTTCGAATAGGTCCAGGAGGAAGAGACCATTTCAGTTAACTGAAGCGACTAGCTAATGGTGGCAATATACAAAAGTTTAGTCACAACGAATGTGCCAGCCACAGGGGTATTCGTCTAACACCGATGGTGACAAAGTTACTATCCTCAGTTTGCGTTCATCGCCTCACTGCGGAACGGGAATCCCGGATTAGGGAATAGCAAGCAGACTTCTGCTCACAACGGGGATGTATACACCATATATTTACTCTGCGACAGGTGCTAAAGCAGTGCCTTGCGTTCCGCAGGCCGACAATAGCTGTGTTCCTCGACTTCAATTCTGCGTTCGACTCAGTCGATTGATCCACTCTTTTCGAGATGATTTTGTGGAGAGGTGTTCATATGATATATGTGAAAGCTTAGTTGCCCTGTACTCCAACACCACAGGTTTCAACAGGGTTTACGATTAATGTCGGATATCTTTCCGACAAATTTGGCGTTGGTCAAGTTGCTCAATTTTCCATTTTCCACTATATCTTCACGAACAAAACTCAAATTAACATTCATTTAACTTATACTATTCGTGTTCGACACATACACAGTTGAACGGGCAATTCAAAATAAAGCGTAGAGTGGTATGGGGAAATTAATTTCGGTCCTTACCGACCGGTGTCATTACTCCGGGCATTGGCAATCAATATTCGGTAACGGACCACTTAATTGCCCCACAAAATCACGATTTATTTATCTCTACGCAGCAACACGTGATTTCCGTTGTGATCTTTGCATACAAGGAAACATGTTTGCTCACTTTCGCTTTAAAACAGATCTTTGTCTAACAACTGCCCACTACAGATTACCAGTACGAGGACTTTGTTGGCAATTCAAACATGCTGCCCATTATGCAACGAGCAGCCTGGATCCACCTTGATCTACCCGGACAAGGAGACGGAGATACGGAGTTACCGTCAAAGTGGGTACCTCATTTGTGCTGGCGGTTTAAAACTGCTTGTTAATTTACTCGGTGGTTATTTTCCCATTTACTCCATTTAACTTATGCCCTGTTTATCTGGTCTCAGTGCTACGCCTCGGTTACTTCACCGCACTTGTCTCTAAGTCGGTATAAGGCTGCATTGTTTTTACTTGCTGCAAATTATCATTGAGGTATTCCTCTAACTGTTCATTATTGAAAAACCCCTTCCAGCTCAGACTATCGCTACCTGATAAGTGAAAATCAGGACGAAACGCGTTGTAGATACTAGGAATTAGAGAGAGCAACCCAGAAACCCTCCTCTACGAATACTGTCCCCATGATCACATTGGTATGGGCTGAATTCAGATTCAACCCAGGGCATAATTGCGATTGCGTGTCGCAATCCAAGACACACGACGACTGCACCAAAATCAGAAAATGCTTTACTGTGTAGTTATGTCTCTGAAACATATCGTATAACTCGTAGCTTGGTGACTCCGGATTAACTATCCAACAAACAATTTGAGAAACTGGTCACACTGGGTTCTAATCACTGCTACTCAAACGCACCGATGATTGTGCATTGGTGTAATACCCGCGTTCAGAATGAGACGGAGTCATTTGATTGCTTCGTTATCCATTATTGGAATCTGACTGATTATTGGGCTTTCGGCAAATACCGAAAATGCATGATGCGTGATCGTCTGGTAGTCAGGGTGAAGAAGTTTCGCATTCAGCGTTGCCTGTCAGCTGATAACTCATTGACGTTGGAAATTGCCGATGTTGCCACGGACATGTTGGTTGTTGAAAAGAACTCCCAGTTCGTGCTGCTGAATTCAAAGCTGTGAGCTGAGGACTTCTCAGTCACAGTTAACAATTTGATGAAAACAACAAGTGGTCGTTCACCTGCTATCGCTGCGACATGCGACACAATCACCCCAGATAGTGTACTCAAGTTCGGACAACTTGTAACAACGACCAACAACGTAGGCATTTGCCCCATGTGTGCCGATCCAGCGCAAACACACATACCCCCGGTGCTAGATGACCAACTTGTTGCTTTTAAAGCAACTGAACCGAAACCGCATATCACTACCCCACGCGCACAAACGCTATTACGACATCGGTACGGGCAGTGCAGTTGTAGCAGTCTGGTGATTCCCACTTTCCCTCTGAAATTTTAACTAAAATTATTATTTCACTGTACACTTAGTCAACCGGTACGGAATTTTGCGCTGCTTGCTGAGTTCGATTGCTTGAGGTGACCATTGCCATTTTGCTTGGCGCTCGCTTTGATTGCAACGCGCAGTCACCTTGCATGTTGTGCGATTTGCATTTCCCCAGCTAGCAGCGTGGACGCTGTCGTTTTTTATAGCTAGGCACACGCGGAACATTTTCTGTACTACTAAAACTTCCCTGATACTTAGTCTGCTTTTGGAATCGCTATCCGGATTCCGGCTAAACAGTAACATTGTGCGACGAACGAACTAAGTTACAGGGATTGGTCTCGGTGCGGTACACCAAGCTGCCTCGGGCTGCGCTGCGATTTCGAGCACATAGTGTTGGTGAAGGAAAACTGCTTGAGTTGAAGGAACTTGTGGCATGATGGAGGATTGACAACCTGGTGAACAGTATACATCACGCTGGGCCGCCAGTGGACCAAGTAACTTTCGGTTTTACAGATTAGCCTGCTTTTCTTTCTATGAATAAGCAGCAGTTCATTAAATAGTGCCAAACAAAACTATGTGAATCACTGAAAAAAGATAGGTTTAAGGCCGTATCATCATCATGGCACATTAACTGAAGGTGAGCAACACACATCAGCTATTGTGCTGCAACGAAATAGGAAAAACTAAACTTTTTGTTATGTTGCACACGCCATTTACTAATATTTTTGTCATTTTCAATCGTTAGGCAGTAAGCATCCAAATCTAAACACACAGAGATCCTTCGCTAGTTTTGATTACGAGCCATATCCTGAATTGTTGCCTGCTATCGGCACTTTGTCCCTTGTTCCCCAACTACGCAGTCATGTGGATCCAATGGGTGCAAGACGTGAAGTCAACGATTTCATCTGCTCTCGCCAGGTGGATGGTGGACCACTGCGTGGTCTCTTCCAGTTGAGTCATGCAGGAGCCAACAAAGCGTACTAGGGCAAACGCTCATCTGACATGCGCAGGACGTGACCGAGGCATCTTAACTAACGTAGCAAAACTAGCTCGTTGAAGGGAATACTCTCATTCCCTTAGGCACCACATCTGACTTCACTGTACGAGAATCCCTGTCAGACGCAATCGAGGTGGAGTGCGGCGTACCACAAGACTCGGTGCTTGGGCCCCGTCTATTCTTGATTTTCATAAACGATCTGGCGAGGTAAAGTGCTTCCAATTTCCTATTCTTCGCGTATGATATCAAGTTATGGCGAGCGATCAAAGAACGGAACGACCACGAAAAGCTCCAGCTTGACCTCAACACGATTGCAACCTGGTCAGTTTTGAATACCCTACCGTTCAATGTGGAAAATGTCACGCTGTTCAATTGCGACATAGACATGACTACGTGTATAGGCTTGGGTTGCATGTATTGCAAACCACTTCCCAAGAACGCGACCTTGGTGTGCTCATTCAAAGTGACCTTAACTGTTAAAAACAGTCAGAGGCACCTGCGAAGAGAGCCAACCAGCACGTCGGCTTGCTGCGGACAGCATCCGGACGATTCGACCCATCCATCTTCCCCATGCTGCACAATTCTTACCTGCGCCCTCACGTTGAATACGGCATCCAAGCTTGGCAATCTTGGTTGAAGCGCGACTTAGAAGTGCTAGAGAAACCCCAGCGCAGGGCCACAAAGAACGTCAAGGATCTACGAAATCTGTCCTACCCTCGAAGGCTGAAGTCACTGGGAATTTTCAGTGGCCTCTACCGAAGGCTGCGCGGCGATCTCATATTAGTCTACCAAATACTGAGTGACCCTAATCACGTATTCCATCACTTGCTGAAACAGCCATAACAACAATCTCAGAGGTAACCCTCTGAAATTATGTGCACAGTTTAGCTGCCTGAAATGTCGGCGAAATTATTTTTCACTTTGAGTTTGCCAACCCTGGAACTCTCTCTCCCAAACTTCGTTGTTTCATTCTCCACCCTGGATATTTTCAAAAAACGTTTGGATCTTGCCCTTGACCCCTATCACTTCGTTGCCTAAACTGTGCAACTTTGGAATATATTAATTATCCCTCCAAAGCGGATTATCATGTTACATAAACCTGAGTACAGAATTGAGTATTATCGTTTTACCTTTTTACTTTTATTACGGAGTACAAGAACTATAACTGTCCCCATTTTGTCTCTTCGTTCGCATTCAATTCCCACTTACACTACTATTATTCAGCAGTGTACCTGCTAGATAAACGCTCAAACAGATTGCTCAACTATCTTTTGATAATTGTAGTTTTACCCCCACCATCCTGCGGGACTTGTCAAACAACTGCTATTTTACTCGTTATAAATCAGTGTCCATGGTTGCAGATTCCTTTTTGCCAACATACACGAGCAAGCTTCCTCAAGCATCCTTTGTCAAAGGCCGAGAGCCGACGCATGTCGTTTACGCGATCTAGCCATGAGTCACTTCAATATAACAACACCGCCCGAATAATGACATTGTAAACACGACCCTTTACTTAGTGGGAGACATCCAGACGAAGCCACAAATGCTGCAGGTTGACAAATGTCAACTGAGCTATGTAGAGGCGAAGAGAAACTTCCTTTCCAATGGTATCAGCAGCAGACACATAGCTGCCCAGGTAGACAAAGCTATCCACTTGTTCAAGCCGTGTACCTTCAATAGTGAACACGAGAACGGGTGAGTGCCAATACTGAAGTAACACTTTACACTTTGACGGGGCAGAGCACATTCCGAACCTGGATGCTTCAAACACCAAACGGTCTAGAATGGTTTGTATATTCTGTAATCGTCACCAAGTAAGGCAACATCATCGGCTTAATCAAAGTCAGTCGCTCGCTTACCCGGTAGTAGCTTTAGACCAACAAGTTAGTAACCATCTTCAGCTCTCGACAGGATGTCTTCAACCGCAAAATTGAAGAGGGATGGGGACATAGAGCAGCCCTCTCGTACAACGCCATAAATATCGAAAGCCGGCGGAAGCCTGCCATATAAACCCTAATTCCGTTGGGGATATGGAAATATAGTGCACATAGGATGGTGGTGTACTTTTCTGAGACACCGTTCCTTAGCAAACAACGCCATTGTGCAGCGCGGTCGACTGAGTCGAATACAGCATGGATGTCCAGGAATGCAACCTTGGTAGGCCTCTGGTAAAGGTGGCGGTGAGCCAAGATTTGATGGTGTTACTAACTGTTCCACACACCCGCGGCTAGATCGGAAGCCAGCTTGTTCTTCCCGGTACTGTGATTCGCTAATGGGAGATAGTCTACGGAGTGGAATTGATGTCAATAGCTTAGAGGCAACCGAAATGAGACTAATCTCCCGGTGATTGGTGCATGAAGTGCAAGCATTGTTCTTAAAATTCAGGACAATAACTGACACCCCAGGAAGAAGGTACCATTTCTTCTAGGCAGCTTTTGGAGAAGTTAGGTTAGCTGACTAATGCCAACTAAGCCTCCATATTTAACAGCTCCGGAGGAAGTCCGTCAGAGCCGGCAGCCTTGTATCGTTTCACATGTTTAATCGCAAAACAAACTTCCGCTTCGCTGGATTGATCAAGTGTGACTACCCAGGGCGTGCAACTGGGCTCGCAGGGCATACAAGTGGACGGTGAGGGCCACTTGAACTTGGAGTGAACATGTGCGGCCTATCGGTCCAAGCGTCTCGGTAAGTTGGCAGTCAGCGAACCATCCACTTCGCAAATTGTCTCACTGACACCAAGCTTTGTGTGATCAGTGAATCGAATGAGTTGGAAGAGATTGCGAGTAATGCCAGAGAGTGCGGCGGCCTCCATTTTCGAAGCACTGTATGAACCA